GACATGCTGCTAGGTTAATGCGGTAGTAAACTTCAGATAACAAAAGAAATAAGTAAAACCCCTGCAAGGTAATGGCACAATGTGCTAATAGAATCCATCATATACTAGCAGAATCCGTCATATACTAGTAGAATCCATCATATACTAGTAGAATCCATCATATACTAGTAGAATCCATCATATACTAGCAGAATCCATCATATACTAGTAGAATCCGTCATATACTAGTAGAATCCATCATATACTAGTAGAATCCGTCATATACTAGCAGAATACATCATATACTAGCAAAATACATCATATACTAGTAGAATCCATCATATACTAGCAGAATACGTCATATACTAGTAGAATCCATCATATACTAGTAGAAATCCATCATATACTAGTAGAATCCATCATATACTAGTAGAATCCATCATATACTAGCAGAATATGTCATATACTAGTAGAATACATCATATACTAGCAGAATACATCATATACTAGTAGAATCCGTCATATACTAGTAGAATCCATCATATATACTAGTAGAATCCATCATATACTAGTAGAATCCATCATATACTAGTAGAATCCATCATATACTAGTAGAATCCATCATATACTAGCAGAATACGTCATATACTAGTAGAATACGTCATATACTAGTAGAATCCATATACATATACTAGTAGAATCCATCATATACTAGTAGAATCCATCATATACTAGTAGAATCCATCATATACTAGCAGAATACATCATATACTAGCAAAATACATCATATACTAGTAGAATCCATCATATACTAGCAGAATACGTCATATACTAGTAGAATACGTCATATACTAGTAGAATACATCATATACTAGCAGAATCCATCATATACTAGCAGAATCCATCATATACTAGCAGAATCCATCATATACTAGTAGAATACGTCATATACTAGCAGAATACGTCATATACTAGTAAATACGTCATATACTAGCAGAATACATCATATACTAGTAGAATACATCATATACTAGTAGAATCCATCATATACTAGCAGAATACGTCATATACTAGTAGAATACATCATATACTAGCAGAATCCATCATATACTAGTAGAATCCGTCATATACTAGCAGAATACGTCATATATAGTAGAATACGTCATATACTAGTAGAATACATCATATACTAGCAGAATACGTCATATACTAGCAGAATACGTCATATACTAGTAGAATACGTCAATATACTAGTAGAATACGTCATATACTAGTAGAATACGTCATATACTAGCAGAATACGTCATATACTAGTAGAATACGTCATATACTAGTAGAATACGTCATATACTAGCAGAATACGTCATATACTAGCAGAATACGTCATATACTAGTAGAATCCATCATATACTAGCAGAATACGTCATATACTAGTAGAATCTCATCATATACTAGTAGAATCCATCATATACTAGTAGAATACATCATATACTAGTAGAATCCATCATATACTAGTAGAATACGTCATATACTAGTAGAATCCATCATATACTAGTAGAATACATCATATACTAGTAGAATCCATCATATACTAGTAGAATACATCATATACTAGTAGAATACGTCATATACTAGCAGAATACATCATATACTAGCAAAATACGTCATATACTAGTAGAATACGTCATATACTAGTAGAATACGTCATATACTAGCAGAATCCATCATATACTAGTAGAATACATCATATACTAGTAGAATACGTCATATACTAGTAGAATACATCATATACTAGCAGAATACATCATATACTAGTAGAATACGTCATATACTAGTAGAATACGTCATATACTAGTAGAATACGTCATATACTAGCAGAATACGTCATATACTAGTAGAATACGTCATATACTAGCAGAATACGTCATATACTAGCAGAATACGTCATATACTAGCAGAATACGTCATATACTAGTAGAATACGTCATATACTAGTAGAATACTAGTCATATACAAGTACTAGTAGAATACGTCATATACTAGCAGAATACGTCATATACTAGTAGAATACGTCATATACTAGTAGAATACATCATATACTAGCAGAATACATCATATACTAGCAGAATACGTCATATACTAGCAGAATACGTCATATACTAGCAGAATACGTCATATACTAGTAGAATACGTCATATACTAGCAGAATACATCATATACTAGCAGAATACGTCATATACTAGCAGAATACGTCATATACTAGCAGAATACGTCATATACTAGTAGAATACATCATATACTAGTAGAATACGTCATATATACTAGTAGAATACGTCATATACTAGTAGAATACGTCATATACTAGTAGAATCCATCATATACTAGTAGAATACGTCATATACTAGTAGAATACGTCATATACTAGTAGAATCCATCATAGAATACTAGTAGAATACGTCATATACTAGTAGAATACGTCATATACTAGTAGAATACGTCATATACTAGTAGAATACGTCATATACTAGTAGAATACGTCATATACTAGTAGAATCCGTCATATACTAGTAGAATACGTCATATACTAGTAGAATACGTCATATACTAGCACATTATGAAGGCCTTACTTTAAAATGAAGCCCCCCGCGGCATGCTGTCACCACTGACAGGGCTTTCATCTTCACCAGTCTTCCTTCAGCCCGGGTTCACACCGATTTCTGTGCGAATTCAGCACCGCATCATAATCACACCCCGTTCATGCGAACTGCTGCGGGTATGTATGTTAAGTTAACAACACCCTGAAATCGGTTCACAAAACGCGGTGCGATGTGCAGTATCGGATCACATGGGTGTGAATACCCAAGCGATCCGATTCTAGTGCAGACCAAAAAAAAGGGTCCTGCACCGCACAGAATTCGCATGTGATTTGCACAGGAATGCGGTACGGTTCCAGTGCGCATATCATGCGATATGCTGCACGGCAGAAGTGTGAACCCATGCTCAAAGTTCGTGAGCTCCAGCAGTCTGACATCACTCCTGTGCATGAGCATGGGAGTCTCAGGACACGGCACAGTGCTCTGAAGGAATGGCACGGGTATGCTGTACCCAGGGCTGCTGTTAGAAACCACGAAGCCCTATACAGCCAACCTGAAAGCCCCCCCCCCCAAAAAAAAATAAAACAAAACAAAAAAATCAAACAAAACACAGATATGATTGAACACAGTGTGTGATCGGTACTGATCACTAATTGTGTTCATTCAGGAAAGGACGGGGCTGGTAAATGTGACATATTTACTAGACCCTTCCCCCACTCTGATTGATCCTATTGTGTGCTTGCAGTTGCCGATGGGAAAGAGAGGAGGAAAGGTGGCAGTACTGTGGGGGTGGGGGCACATAGGGGGCCTAGGCAGTAGGGGAAATGTATGGAGAACAGGGAGGGTTATGTCTGCAGTAGGAAGGGCAATTACTGGGACTGATCCCTGTCTGACTATCTCTGCTTCAGCTGAAAGTCAGTGGGGGGAGGGGGGAGAAGCTGGCTTTCAGCTGCTGCAGGGAGAGCATACAGGGGATCTGTTCCAGTAATTGCTCTCCCAGCCATGCCGATCACGATCTCTGCCCACATCCAATTCACCCATCTGCCAGCGCCCCATGCTGGCCTGGGCCCCGTACAGGAGGACTGGTGCTACCCCCTTATCCACGGCCCTGGCTGTCCCTTCAGAGCATATACGCCGATTGTCAAAAACAGTGAATATCTCTTAACCACTTGCCATCCGCCTGCTGTTTATAAATGGCAGGACGGTGGCACTCCAGGGGAGGGTTGCCGTTCATAAATGGCACCCGCCATTTCTAGCTGTGTGCGCTCCCTGGGAGCGTGCAGCACCGCGATCTGGTGCCCGCGGTGTCCTCTAGACACAGCGAAACACCGATCGTCGGACGGGACCTCTGTACGAGGTCCCGATCATGTGATCACTGATTGGCCAAGTGATCACATGCAAAGTAGTAGGCAAGATGTCACTTGTGACATCATTGCTTACTACGTGTGAAATCTGTGAATGATCACAGAGATCACATGGTACAGGGCTATTCACAACAGCCTCGTACCATGTGACAAGCTGTGACCAATCACAGCTCACTCAGTACTTCTCAATGGCTGCAAGAATGCAGACAGAGAGAAAGAGAAATGATTGCTTTTATATCCTATATGGGTGTAAAAGCAATCACTGTAAAAAAAAAAATCTTCATCACCCCCCACAAGTAGTACAGTGTCACCATGGTGACACTGTACTGCTAGGGTGACAGTATGTAAAAAAAAAAAAAAAAACATAAATAATTAAAAAAAAAATAAAATTTAAAAATTTATGATGAAATATTATTTATTTGCAAAATTGTATAAGAAAAACACTTTTTTTCAAAATTTTTGTACTTTTTCATTTACATAGCAAAAAGAAACAAAAATCCCAGCGGTGAATAAATACCACCAATATAAAGCTTTATCTGTCTAAAAAAAAGAGGAGCCAAGAATTCTTGAAGCATGTCTTTGGAGTGTGAGAAAAAAAGCCATGCAGCACAAGGAAAACATGCAAACTCCATGCAGGAATGACAGAGCAAATCCCCAGAGCAGCTAGCGATGAGAGGGGAAGTGAGGACTGGCACATCTAGAGGGAGGCTGAGGACGCTGGTGTGAACAGTGAGGAGGTTCTAGCTCTGGGAGGAGTGTCCAGCATTAGGAGTCCTGTAGCAGAGAGAGAGTCAGTGGAGGAAACAGCCTGGGACAAACTGCAGAGAAGCCAGGGATGTCACCTAGGGGGTCTGTCTACATCAGGCTCTGCCACTTCCAGGACCTCCATGATCTCCTGGGGACACCTAGTATCTGTGTGATCTGAGCATTTAGCATGTTGTCTGCCCATGGGTACCTGGATTATGTCAGCCCTGCATGAACACTGCTGCAGACTGGATCTCCATTGTGCTCCCTGCCTGTAGAGTCCATATACGTTGCGATTGATCAGTCCTAGTGGTGCACCATGGGGGGTAATCTGGGCTGTCATCGGTCCATTCCTAAGGACCCATCAGATCTGTGCCAGAAGAACCGCAAGTTCAGTGCAGCGTGTAACTTCAGCAACATCCTGGTGAGCCAAGAGAGACTGAACATCAATACTGCCACTGAGGAGGAGCTGATGACCCTACCTGGGGTGACCAGACAGGTGGCTCAGAATATAGTGGAGTATAGGGAATATATCGGGGGCTTCAAGAAGGTGGAGGACTTGGCTCTGGTGAGTGGGGTGGGGGCTGCCAAACTAGAGCAGGTTAAGTTTGAGATCTGTGTGAATAGTAAAAGTGGCTCAGCCCAACACTCACCCAACTCTTTACGAAAGGACTTGGACCATGGGTACCATAGCCAACATCTGTCTGCCACCAGGGTCAACATCAATACTGCCAGTGCTACCCAACTGATGAACCTTAGAGGTCTAACCGAGGAGATGGCCCAAGACATCATCCTCTACCGCACTCAGCATGGCCCCTTGAAGAGCATTGAGGACCTTCTTAAGGTGGATTCCATTAGCTCTTCTTTCCTGGACAAGGTCAGGCACCAGGTCTATGTACAAAGATCTCGGCCACCATCCACCCATACCAATGGTGGCTTACATTTCATGGCCAAACCACATCCAAGCCCCACCTCATTAAGCCTACAGAGTGAGGACCTTGATTTTCCTCCTGGAGGACCTACTCAACTCATCTCTACCCGTCCCTCTGTAGAAGTCTTTGGAGGTGTGAGGGAGGGCAAACCTGTGCTCAGGTTGGCAACCTGGAACCTACACAACTGTAGCATGGACAAAGCCAGCAACCCTGGGGTCAGGGAGGTGGTGTGCATGACCATTTTAGAGAACTGGTAAGTTGTTTAGTATGAACATCTTATTTGTTTTCTTTGGCTTTCATGTTTTGTTAGCAATGTATATTTGTATTTATGGTGACTTCCTTACAGAGCAATATTATCATTTGTGAAATATATGGTATGAGGGCCTGTCCACACCTGAATGAAGTGTGTTTACATGCAACAGATCACATGGTACCGCAGTCTCATGTGATTTGGTTTAGTACGTTGTTCAAAACGCATAACTTTTTGTCCATCCAATGCAGTTTGAAGTCCACTCAAATGGTGAACGCACAGGAATGCAGACTACGTTCCTCTGTGATTTTGGTGTGAACTGGCCCTGAAGATGTGTTCTCATTTGTAAACAAAAATCTAAGTTATTTAAACCCCATCTCCAGGAAGAACAAACATTTGCCCTTGCAGTGGGGCTGCCCCCGTACTTCAAGGGTTAAATGCATGTTTAGTTCTAGGAAAGGGAAAAGCACCTTTACATATCTGACGCTCTGCTCCCCTGCGCAGTCGGCATTCTCTTCTACTCCACTATTCTCCGGCAGTGGACTGTCTTCTGGTCTTTACTTGTCCAATGTTGGCTGTGGGTTCTGTGTTGGTCTTGATGACATCAGAGAGTATCTGACCATTGAAGTACAGGCGAGAAGAGGCTGTGGGGACTCCTCTTACAACCCAGATGAGGCTATGGGAGTGAAGGATCAGATAGGTGAAATGTTTTTTTTGCAGTCCCCTCAAACTAAACAAGCATTAACACTTGCATTTCACAAACAGCCCCACTACAAGGGGCTTTTTTGGCTTCCCCCGGAGTTCAGCTCTAAAAGCTAAGTCAGTTTTTATATCCAATCTTTAAACCTGGGTGTAACTTGAAGTCTGGTCGGAGTCTGCAGCCCTTATCTCCAAACTGCCACCCCCCAACTTACAGAATTGCTGGGTTCTGCTCCTTGCTGGCTCCTGTCAAATTTGATTTTGGTGCAGCTGTTCCTGCACAGCCACTCATTCATTCATAGAGATTTGTGAATAAACAAACTACAAGTCCTATCTTTCTCTGTAACAGAGAGGCTCATAGATTCCAATGGGGCACAAATTCGGTGACATCACCGCACTTGTAGTCCATTGATACTTCCTCCGGCCTGGTAACTGTATGTCAGTACCTAGGTTGACTTGTGACTGGAGGAATAGTCTGCAGCAGTCAGAGCATTGTGTTACCTGTTGCAGAAATAGGCTGATCTGGGTGGTGTACAGCCAGAAAAGGCCACAGCAATGACCCCTTACTAGGGTTACCACCTCATCCCTTTAAAAGCAAACACATATTATTTACACAGGTTGTGAGGCTCATTTTATGTAGATAAGGCACTGAGTGAATTTAATTACCACCTTAACCCCTTCACGCCTAAGGGGAAAACAAATCTTAAAGCGTAAGTCAAATTTCACAACTTTGACATGTGTTAGTAAAACCGTACATAATCATCACAATGACTTTGTACAGCCAGGTGGATTATACCGCGTTTTTTTCGGGACAAATTGGGCTTTCATTTGGTGGCAAATGGTAATGGAGAGCTCCTGATTTTTTTTCTTTTTTATTATCAAATGAAACATGGCCCAAAATAGTAAAAAAAATCATTGTTTTAAATGTAGCTGTGTGTTTCTTATTACTACCATAACCTACCACCAAAGAACAACCCAAAATACATTTTCCAGCTCTTGACGATCTCAGTGGTAACATATATGTGTATGTAATTTGTTTGTACCTGTGCTACAGCCCAGAAACTATAGTGCGCATTTATTGTTTACCTAAAACACACTGACACTAACTGACACTGATACCAATTAGAAAAAAAAAAAAAAATCCTGACCCTTGACCCAAACACTAACCCTGGAACTGAACTAGATCAAACCTTCTAGGTATTTTTTCTTTATTTTTGTAGATAATTATCTTTTTTTTTTCTTACAAACAGTTTTTTTTTCTCTTTCTCTGCAAGGAAATAGAGAGATACAATGTATCGCCTCCATTCAGAGAAAAAAAAAACAAGGGGGGCGGACTTCACAATGACTGATCACTGTGATAGCCAATCAGAGGTGATCATGTGACCCGGAATTGGGAGTCCCAGGTCCCGATCGTTAGAACGGGACGCAGGGCTTTCAGTGACACCGCAGTCTTTGTGCTGGGAGTGCGCCGTGCAGCGTGCTACTTGCACAAAGACAGATACACAAATATGTGCCCCCCCCGGAAAAAAGCCCAGTTCTGTGAGGCCACATATTTGTATGACGTTAGCGGGAAGGGGTTAAGCAGTCACAGAACCTGTGTAATTTATGTGTTCGGTTTTAAAGGGATGAGGTGGCAACCCTACCCCTTACATGGTGCCATTCTCTGCATAATTCAGAGCCATCCACTGCTGGAGGAAGAAGTGGACTTGTGAAGTCGAGTAACTGGACAAAGGACCCCAGATAAATGATACATATACACATAGATAAGATTGGTGGCCAGCCTGGAGTTGGGATTCATAGCGGACCTTTCATGAATAATAAATACATTACTGACATGTTATAATATACGACAGCAGAATTATTTTTCGTAAAAGCTGTACTTTATATCATTCAAACACAATCCTTGGGCTCCAGTCCAGTGACTTTGCTTGAGCTGAGAGGATGTCATCAGTTTCTTGCAGGCAGAAGGAAGCATTTCTTTGTTCTTGTGTTCCCCAGTGATCCAGCTGTAACAATGTAACTTACAAGGGGTTATAACTCTTTCTTATTCTATCCAAAATGAAAAAAAAGTTTTGCCTTTAGTTAGTTCTACTTTACGGTAAAAAAAAAATCTTCCATGTTCAGCTCCACTCACCCCCTTGTGCTATGCACAAGAGCAGCATTGCTGCTCTCTCTCTCCTCACAGGTTCAGAGACAGCAACAGGAGCCATTGGCTCCTGTTGCTATAAATCAAATCCTGTGAGAAGGGAGTGGGGGCAGGGCGGAGTGAGCCCGCACAAGTACCCCCACAGCAAGCTGCTTCCGGCTTGCTATGGGGGCAAATACAGAGAGAGTGCCAACAGGGGACCTCAGAAGAGGAGCTTCGGGGGCCACTCTGTGCAAAAGCATTGCACAGAGCAGGTAAGAATACCATGCTTATTATTTTGATTAAAAAAAAGTAAAGCTTTGCAATCCCTTTAATTGTCTCTTGTCTAAATTGGCCCCAGTATGTGTTCAAGTGGAAACCTTAGATTGTAAGCTCCTTGACGATAGGGTGAATGTGCAATATGTAAAGTGCAAAACACGAAGATGCTACATCCACAGTGCAGCATATGTGGGGTCTATAAACAAACAATATTTTGTAATGCATCATTTATAGCTTGGTTAAATCATGAAATCAATAATTTTTGTTGTCGGCACTTTTTTTTCTTTTACATCCATAAAGCCCATTATAGAATATATCCGTATCTGTCATTACTGTAATTAAACTCATCAGTAGTAGCAACATGTAACAATTGTCTTGGATGATTGCCTTGTTCACATATTGCACTCCAACTCTGCTGCTCTTATCTGATCTGAACATTGTACAGTCCATACATCTTCTTCTAAGACTGCAAAGGAAGCCCCAAATCTCAGGCTGATATCAGATGGATGATTATATATTTTTCAGATGAACTCTCTCTGCCCCACCCCAGTTTCTTATAGAAATTTCTTGCTATGAAACGCACAATGCTTTTCTATGGAGTCAGAAACTCCTACATCTTTAAATTGTTACTCAGCGATCAGCAGTGTATCACATAGGTGCCAAATGTTTTTTTATCGGCTATCGCTGATAGGGCTAATATAGGCTCTTGAGCTGCAGTTTTACTGCCTACTTGACCGCCCCCCTCAAAGTAGAATTCCAGCTAAAGCATAACTAGCCTTAAAAATGTTTTCTTCCCCCTTCTAACACCTACACTCTGGGCTGTGGATAAGGGGGTACCACCGGTCCTCCTGCACAGGGCCCAGGCCAGCAGGGGGGTCCAAGCAGCTGGGTGAATCAGATGTGGGTAGGGAGGGGGATCATCAAAGTGGGGGGGGGGAACATTTCCTGGAACCGATCCGCTGTATGGCTCTCTTTGCAGCAGCTGAAAGCCGGCTTCTTTTCTCCCTCCCGCTGGCTTTCAGCTGCTGCAGAGAGAGCCGTACAGGGGATTGGTTCTAGTAATGGCCCCCGCCCCCCTGCACCCATCACCCTCCCTGTGCACCATACATTTCTCCTTGCTGCCCAGGCCCCCCTGTGTGCCCCCCACCCCTACTATGCTGCTGGCTTCCCTCTCTTTCCCACTGGCAGCTGCAAGCACACAATAGGATCCTTCAGGAAGGAGAGTGGGGGATGGGTCCAGTAAGTATGTCACATTTACCAGTCCCTTCCTGTCCTGAATGAACACAATGAGTGATCATTACCGATCACTCAATGTATTCATTTATAACTGACGCATAGTAGGCAGTGTTATTTTTTTTGGGGGGGGGGGGGGGGGGGGTCTCAGGTTCGCTGTATGGGGCCACATTGTTTCTAACAGCAGTCGTGGCTATACTATTTTCTGTAAAAAAGATGTATATACTTACCTTTATTCAGCCCATTCCAGTCTTGTCACTTGATCCCTGTGTCAGGCAGCAGCAGCTACAGGGGAGCGGAGAACCGGACACAATGGCTGGGAAATGGGAGCCTATGGGTGACATCACTGCTCCCAGCTATAGCTGGGCACTCTCTTCATTCCCCTGCTACTGCCACTGGCAGACAGAGGATCACGTGACCAGACAGGAGCAGGCCGAAAATAGGTAAGTACCTCTGACACATTTAAACTAACCTGTGTAAAAAAAGACAGAGAGTGGAGGGAAGATATTCAAGACTAGTTTGGCTTTAGGTGGAATTCTAGTTTAATCGAACACAGAGGCTGGAGGGAGTTGTACACAATGATACCCCATCACACTCAGCGGGAACACTGCTGCCCAACATGACCCCCTTCACGGTCATTGATCAGTCTTTAGCAGAGTACGGTTCATTGC